ATCTCTCTGCCCTCTTCTGTTTTGTTTCCATCTTTTGTTTCCAGGACTTCTCCTGACAGGACAGAAGGTAGGACAGCTTCTGCCCTCCTGTGCCTGGAGGGTTTCACCTGGGCATATGTCTCTCCCGTGGGGTCTTCCTCAGGTGGTCTCTGTACCAGAGAAGCAGGGAAGTAGTGAGGTACAGATAGTGTCACCTTGTTCCCCTAGGGCTCTCCTCTGGCCAGTTTTCCACAACATGGCCAGAGTGACCTGTTCAGATGATAGCATCACTGATGGAATATTCTGGGGCTTCCTTCCTATAGTTCTGGCCTCTTATCCTGACACTCTAACCCTTGCTCTCTTGGCTGTACGCACACAGTCCATCTTCCTGAAAACATATTTTTGGGGGCAATAGATGTCTCTGTGGTTAAAAACACTGACTATGTTACAGAGGATCCAGGTTTGGTTCCCAGAACCCACATGGCGACCTAAGTTCATCTGCAACTCTAGTTCCAGGGTCTCTGACACTCTCTTCTCACCTCTGGGAGCACCATGCAGGCATGTGATGCAGAGACATTCATGTTTGTAAAACACCCACACCCACAAAACAAATCCCCCGCATGTTTCTGCCCCAAGCTCCTTTGGTTCCGCCTGCAGTTGTTAGATGTTTCTTTGGGCCTTTCTCTCTGGGATGTCCCCTCAGAAGACAACCAGACAGATGCAAAGAGACAGAAAGCAGACAGGTGTGAAGAGACACATGATGCTGGGAAAACCAGGAAAGAGTGAGGCCACAGCACACAGGAGGTAGGTGCTTGCTGAAGAGAGTAGTCAGCTGTGGATGTTGAGGGCCAAGAGAGGGGGAACAAAGATGGCCCCCTGGACTAAACTGGGCCCTAAGTTCCTAGCACACAGATGGAGTCAGGGACCTCACCGAACTGTCCAGCTCAACACCATCCTTAGATTTCATGTCCTCCACTGAAGCATCTGTCATGGCAGAAAAAACAGAATGTCTCCTGACCAGAGTCTAGGAACCCCTAGTTTCCTGCCTTGCCCAGGTGGGACAGAGAACCAGGGTTTAGATACACCGTGGTCTATAGTGTGAAGTTCAGACACAAACAGAAAAGACCCCAGAGCCTGTCCACCACCCCTGCAGTGCTGAGACCTCAGACATGTGCCTCCCCAGGACCCTCTTTCTCTCACAAAGGCTTTCTTCCTGGGTGGCAGCAGCTGGGTTGGATCTGGAAAGACAAGGGGATGTCAGCTGGCAGTGATGTATGTCTAGGAGGTGGGGCTCTAGGTCTCTGGCCATGAGTTACCTCTTCTGGGGGCCCCCATCTCTGGTTGCTGGCGCTGCGGTTCCTGCAGGAAGCTGCAATTCGGTCTCTTTCCGGGCTGCAAGAGAGAGCAGAGTCTCCTCTAGGAGAGGAGGAAGTCCCTCCTCCAGGCATGCACAGGGAAGGAAGGAAGGAAGGAAGGGAGGGAGGGAGGGAGGGAGGG